ATCAAAATAAATAATTACGTAATATTATTATATCTTCTTTGTAATTGAAAGCATATAGCGGAGGTTTGCATTCCTTAGAGAATTGATTGTGAAATAGGTCGTGTGAGATAGATAAACGGACATTTATCCTGCTTGTAATTGTAATTTTAATCCAGTTGTATTCTCTATAGCCATGGAATGACATCATCTTGAACGACCAGTTCGCAATATTATTGTGAGAATAAGTCATCGAAGTCACCGTCAAGTGGATATCGCAGAGACAGTTCGCGTTTCTCAGAGCGTCGTTTCCCGGGCTTTAGCCTGATTCCGAGAGATTAGAAGTGCCGATAGGAGGCCTGGTAGTTGATCTCAGCGCATTACAAGGGTAAGGGAGGACAGAAATATTGTCATTGCTGCAAGATGGAACCTTTTCTATATTGCCCGCCAGATCTTTAATGAAGTACAAAATGTTTTGACAATGCCTTTATCCACACAAATGATTTGTAATCGTTTGTGGGAAGTTGGTCTCAAGCTCCTTTAAGGCGATGGGCAGCAACAGCCCGCCACCACTACCTAGAAGAGAACACCAATTGGAATGCTGTTATGTTTAGTGATGAGTCGCGTTTCTGTCTGTGCGGTGATAACAAGCGCCGAAGAATCTACTGAGAACAGGGAATCGGTACGACGCACCAGTACGTGATCCCTTCAGTGTAGTTTGGAGAAGACGGTGTAATGGTCTGGGGTGGGATTTATACTGGAGGATGAACTGGACTCCACACTGTTGAAGCCAACCTCAACGCAGTCCGTTATGTCCAAGAAATTATCGAGAAAAACATCCCTTAAACTGTGGATCTAATTGGCAGGGGTTTTCGATTTCTGGATGACAATGGCAGACCTCATTGAGCCAAAGTAGTTCATCAACGTTTAGGAAACCGGGAAATTTCCCATCTGCCTCTTCCCCCATCGCCTCCAGACATCAATCCTAGTTAGCAAATGTGGGATGCGTTGCAGTTAGGGTTTTTCAATCGACATCCGCAGCCAGGTTTCCTACTACGATTGTGTACAGCAACAACTAAAGAGAAAAATTCCTTGCGAAATTAGTGACAACCTTATTAACAGTATGTCTAACAAGTGCACAGAGATTTAGCTAACAGAGGACGTTATACACGGTATTAATTGTTTAAAAAAATTATTGTGGCCAATAAATAAAATTATGGGATTAAATCCTTTTATTTTGTTATTTCTCACATTCCCTTAATTTAATGTTCCTTCAAAAAAAAAAAAAAAACGTAATAATTATAATACATTTTAATGTGATTTCTAATAAAAGTAAAATAAAAATGGTAGGGAAATTAATTGCTACACAATTGGGAATAGCCCTATTGATTTTTGAACAGTTTGCGTGCGTTACCGCTGAAAGGACATAGGGGTTTGATGTTTGACACGGGACTGCAAACCCAAAGTTGGTGATTGAGTCATAAGCTCAATTCAGTATATATATAAAAATATTACAAACAGAAACAACATTTCTATTTGTAGAACTGCATCAACATTTTCTTCTCTGATGAATTTAGAAAAGAAAATTGAACCCCATTGTTGCACAGTTCCGGTCGGAATTATTTTAGAAAAACACAGAATTATATATTTTTTAAATAAGTTTTAATAAAAATTTTAAAACAAACTGCAGCATTAGGATTAACGGATGTTCACAAACCAGAAACTATCTTTGATTTATTAACACCAGTTTATTAAACATACACCAAACTTAGAACTGATTTATCAAAAAGGTAAGTGATACTAAATATCTAACAATGAACAACAATTTCCTGTGTAGTACAACAACTAAAATTATATGCAATATTTTACTTGGTGAATACTCGCGAGTCATAATTTCACGCTTAATTACTGTTCTGGTAATAACTCATATTAGTTATAACTGAGCACTGAAACTTGAAATTGTGCTAGAATTGTTTAAGTATAAAATTTATATCTACAGACTATTAGGTGGCAGAAGAACAAACAAAATTATTTAAAAATTAATTAATTTGAAGGGAAAATAAAAGCTATTAATGTTGTCGGGTAAATTAATTGGTTTTTTAAATTGTTTTCTTTAATTATTGTTATACTTTTCAAAAAAACATAGTGTTAAGTCGAGAAGATCTCGCCCGAGCAGATGCTTTGGCCAAAGTCGGAAGTAGCATCCGTTACATAGCCTAACTCCTGGATGTGCCGAGTTCTTCCATCCTCGATGGTCCACAGCGGTTTAAGGCAAGTAAGAAGTCACGATCGAAGAGAACGTATTGGCCGCCTGCAATGTACGACAGCTAGAAACGATCCTTTTATTGCTCTTACCGCACTACGGAACCGCCATTTAACGACTTCCTTGATAGGTAGTCAGTTTCAAACGGCGAGCTTTAAAACATTCATCAGAAGGATTCGTAAAAATAGTCTAGTCTATAGACGTTCAGGTTCTCTACAAATGAAGAGGCATCTAGTAGAAAGGCAATTCACATCTCGCTTGGACACTTTAACAATGGGGAGGCTGTTCTCTTTACAGTTGAGTGTCAGTTTGGTTTGTACTAATCAGCTAGATGACCGGGAACGTGTGTGGAGAAGCCAAGAACGCTTTGCTTCATGTGCTTTTGAAAGACAGTCAGTTGTGGTATGGGGGGATCAACGTCCATGCCCCTACCGAACTTATTACCATACAGAATGGATCTTTGACGGCACGAAAGTACATTCATCTTTGAAGTATTTGATGATGTAGAATAATAAAATCAAATAGTTCTTTTTTGGTTTTGGTTGTCAAATTACGAAAGACAAACAAAACAAAAATCTACTAATGTACATGGAGGAAGTTCTTCTGGAATGTGTGGCCTGTTCGTTCCATTTTTTGGGACAACCTCGGGTTAATATATGATAGTTTTCACCCATTACTCAGAAGATTAGCACAATTAATTGACCAGCACAACCTCCTGCAATGAATTTTTGAGTACTCTTACAGGACATCATAAAGAGAGTAGTTATACTTCTTTGCCGCCTTCAACATTCGTTGAACAGCTTCAAATCCTACGACGAAGTACTTATTTAATCGATGTATAAGGCCCTCCGCTAGCCAAGAGGAGGTAATACGCGTTATTAAGAGCAAAAATATATAATAAATTGTTAGATAGGGGACCGCGGTAGCCGAGTGGTTAGCATGAGAGACTCTCACGCCGCGGTCGTGGGTTCGATTCCCACCGTCGCCATTGGCCCTTTTTTCCCGATAACCCCCAATTGGAACACACAAAGAATTCGTACCATGGCTAATATGCAAGATCATAAGGCCAATAAAAAAAAAATAAAAAAAAATAAAAATTGTTAGATAAATTTTAATCACTAAATGATTTGGGTAATTTCCTTTAAAACACCATCATAATTTAATAATTTTTATTAAAACTCCTTAATTTCTGATCTCGTTTAATTTGGTTTATATTAAAATAAGCAAGTTGTAATTAATATAACAATAAAAATGCATATAGTTTCAAATAAACAACAAAATTATAGTATCAGGATTTTTGTGTTTGAGTGTATTTCACTAGTACATTTATTTTTTACTTATAGTTTTGCATGGATATGAAAATAAAAACAATATAACAATAATACAATATATAAATAATATAAAATTAGCCAGACGCTAAGATTGACCTATGCGCTCATGAGAGAATTTCAACAACGTGTCAGTAGAAATGCAAGCAAAAAAGTGAGCATCGAAAAAATAGGTTTAAATCCCTTTTGTGGCATAAATTATAAATACGGTAAAATGGCTAGAATCTTGAGCTACTAGTTAATACATATAATATTGGAATGTATGGTATGAGACAAGGAAACATACTACTCGAAAAAAACGTAATGTGAGAAAGAAGAAATCCTACTCAAGAGAAGGGAACTAAAAACCCTCTATTTACGGAACATGCTTCAGTAAAATATAACTTAGACAGCACGGCTATTAACAGGCAACCTACGTTGTAGTCTAAATCAGACAACAGATCTTATTCTATGCAACGGCTTTGCAATAGCTTGAATAAGGCTATACTATTTACGAATAGTTTCCACGAGCAATGAAGACCTCGATACCATTAAAACGCTGCGGTGAAATCTGTACGTTTTAAAGAAAAACGACAATTCTCCTACAAAATCATTTGAAGAACTCGGGCGCAATGGACAAACGTTAAAGGAGTTGCCAAAGGAGAAAACCCCTACCATTCCAAAGGAGGAATATTAGGAACGAATATAAGGAATGTATACAAAACTCAGATTGAATTACACCTGTTGTAATTTATACGGCATTATTATCGTAGTAATTCCTGTCTTACAGGCGGGCTTAACGTTCAAGTACCCGATAAAGGTTTCGGACATGAAATTATTATATAAATATATATACCTATAATAAATAAATGCAGGTAAAACATCTCGTCACATTAATTAAACACTTTAACATTGTTTCCAACCTCCTTTCCTCTTTTATCTTTTAATCAGATCCAGTACGTAATTCTACTCTAGCTCATAATATCGAATTTCAAAGAGAAATGTACAGAAAATAAACCTTCCGTCCGGATTAACTTTAAATGTACTTCTAAATAAATAGTACAAATTAATCCAAAAAGTACACTTGCGATAAATATGTGCATTTTTATAACGTTGCCGCAGCCATGCAGGATTTAGCCAACGAGATTTTCAGATTTAGTTTCTCCAACCCTCATAATTATATTTTCCATAATGCTTTGTGCATGAAAGGAGGCATGTTTTTTTGTTTTTTTTAAAAAAGCTCAGTTTTTAACACTTTTATATATAACTAATGTAGCGAATGTTGTACAATTATCAGCGAGAAGTGTATAAAACATGTCTATCATTAGTGTACAGTTAGTTACTACATTCTGAATAAATAAGGTTAATATTTATCAGCAAATTTTTTTTTCTAGGGTACATGGTATTAAAAATAAAAAGCATACTATTTGTGTGAAATCAATTTACATCAAATTGGATCGAGAAATGGTATTTATTAAACATAACACATTTTATAGCCGTTATCTGATCTTTATTCTTCTAGGCATTATCACGCGTGATAAATATTTTTATATAACGTCCAACCGTGGAGCACAGTTCAAAAACTTGTAGAATATCGAGTTTCCGATCAGGGATGAAAAGAGTTTCCATTGTTTGCATAGTTCCAATCCCTCTGTTGGCAGAACTGTTCCCAGGCAACCCTTGCCAACCTCTCACAGAGAGACTTGGAGCCAACAAGGGGGAAGACTTAGTTGACTGAAAGTAAACCAAACAATAACCGCATTATGTACGTAGTTGCTATTCTCTCCAATCAAAGAACAAACTTTACCAACTTGGACATTGATTTAATAAAATAATAACAAAACATAACGCAATTTTTATAACATAAAATGTAATATATATNTATCATTGTATATTAAAATGCATAATATAATCCTTTAGGTTTTTTTAACTGTTCCACCAGTTTTTATTTCTAGATATGTAAAAACAGTATAATTAGGACGTGATCTAGACGAGTAGAGACCTACGAAAGGCGAGAAAGTTTCAAACCACATATAGATATTGTTTTCACACATATTGCAAATGTTTGTTATTTTTATTGTTATTACAAATGTGTGGTGATTAGTGACCGTTATTCAATGATTATTCAGAAATCGTAAGATGTGGTATGATGTGATGTAGGTTCCAGAAAAACATTTTCTTTATCGTGCCCACGTTTCGATCTTTCATTAAATTCACTAATTTCGTGGTCCGCTTGACCAATTAAACATTACAATTACAGTACAATTTTTTTCAACTCAACTAAAAACCTTAATTAATTGTTTCGATCATCTTCAGGGCCTGGGATTCACAAACATTGTTTAAATTTAACAAATACATGTAGGATGTGGAAGAAAAGTGAATTTATACAGTGCAAAAAAAAATATTTTATATTCAATCAAAGTATTTCTACTCACCCAGTGTTTGTTTTTTGCGTAAGTGTGCCATTCTTGCGCGTCGTGTTGAGAGTGCTAGTGAGATTTTGCTGTTTTATGTTTATATACGTTGGATTTTGAAGGGGTGGGGAAGGAATTTGGACATTTGGGAAAAATGGAAAGACATTTTTGTATAAGGAGTCGGCGTCTTTGATGTGAAAATAGCCGACGAAGGGAAAAAACGTTGGTAGTAGTTCGGCCAGTTTATCATTTTAGGATTATACAGACGGGGGTAAATAGGACAAGGAAAGATAAATTGTTGAAAAATTAGACTATGTAAAAATGTTTGATGTGTGGAATGTTATGAATGTTTTATATGTTATGTTATACGATTTGAGTGATGTGATGATTTAAGTGTGTTATCGATATTGAATTTGATTAATGATATTGGCGTAGTTGCGACTGAGTTTACATGTGTCTTTTCTATTATTGATGCTGTGTTTATCTCGGTTGATGTCCTTTTCCTATTTATCCTCGTCTATATAATCCTGGAAGGATAATCTGGCCGTACCATTACCAACGTTTTTTCCCCATCGTCGGCTCTTTTCACCTCAAAGAAGCCGACTCCTTATACAAAAATATCTTTCTATACCGATTTCCTTCCCCACCCCTTCAAAATCCGACGTATATAAACATAAAACAGCAATATCTCACTGGCACTGTCAACACGACATGCAAGAATGGCACACTTACGCAGAAAACAAACACTTTGAGTGTATAGAAAAAATGATTGAATATTAGAAAAATATATTTTGCATTGTATAAATTCACTTTTTTCTACATCCTACATGTATTTGTTAAATGTAAACAATGTTTGTAAATCCCAGGCCCTGAAGATGAACTCAATAAAGATCAAAACGTTGGCACGATAAAGAAAATGTTTTTCTGAAACCTACATCACACTAGACCACATCTCACGATTTGTGAATAATCATAGTTATTATAAATGTAAATTGTTAGTTAATGGGGTTTTGTTATTGTTGTATTTATATAAGATGTATTTATGAATTGTTAAGTAGGTAATTTTAATGTAAAGGACAGATGATAGACGAGGGACAGTTTGCTGGTCTGAAAGCTGTCGAGAAATAAAAACTGACAGAACAATTTAAAAAAAATAAATATTCATTATTAAACAAAAGACTACCAACCTCCACGCAGAACATATGACACGGAATATGATTTCTTCATAATTATTACTATACATTATACATTAATGCGTTTTGTTTCAGTTAACAATCCCTTCCAAAAAAAATTTTTGGACTTAAATGCATTTTTTTCTTACACAAAATAATATTCGCGTCATAATCCGTAAGATAAGATAAATAAGAGAGACATTTATTACAATTAGAGAGGCATGTATTGATGAGAGCGAGCTCTTAAGAAAAAGTATGGACGGTAATAAATTCGGTCGAATAAATGAAAAATAGAGAGTGTGAGAGGAGAAATATAAAAGGAAATAAAGTGAGAAAGAGAGAGAGAGAGTGTGTGTGTGTGTGTGTGTGTGTAGAAGAGGGAGGAGTGAGCGAGACAGAGTTTTGTCATCTTAACCTATTATAAAAATACAGACCAAGTTCTCTGAATCGCCCTATTTTAACAGCAGCAAAATTGCTCTTATGGAGCATATGTAAAGATATACCCCGTAAGATCATCCAAACTTAACTTTTTGCTGGTAGATGAAACATAAAAAAAATATCTGAAATACCTTGTAGCAGGACTAGTTGGTTTTTGATTGTACATTATGAATAAGTAGTTTTTAGAAAATCTTTAAAATTTCTTAGTTACCAAGATGCCTTGGAATGGATTTTGTTTATACCCTGCCTAATATTTTTCTTCAAGGAGAGTTCAGTTGTAACTGTTACATTGAAACGCTGATAAATAATGGTAAAGAAGACGTGGTAGAACAACAATTACCATTCGAGTATTGTACATGAGACAATTAAAATTGTTGATACATTATCTGTGTACCAATTAAAAATCTCCGGACAGAGAAAAAGCCCGGCAATTAGGCATCGTCATAAATACCCCAAAACGATCGAAACCAATAGAAAACAGAGGATAAAACAGTAATGAATACAGTATCGTATCGATCCTTTCGAAGGCTCTGATGAAGGTATCAATGACCGTTAATGGAACTCGTTTGAAAGCTGCAAGACTGGATTCAGCGGAGTGCGTCAGTTGGGAAAATCAAATTTCAATTAACGACTCACCAATAATTCAAGAGAGGCGTACAGCCATTATTACGGTTCGAGTGCTGGTCCTGGGCCCCGATACAATATATCACTGGTGTCGTTTTCACTACGGTTGAAAATGAATTCAAATTTCAAAATCCTCAAGTTTTCCTTGCTTTCAATTAACAATTTTACATTTGGTAAAAACGATTTTTCTTCTTACCAGAAGACATGTTGACAGAAGGCTCATTTTCTTCCTCTTTGAAAAAGTGGCGTGAACCCTTAGTATTTATAATTACGATTTGTTTGAAACTAGTTTGCCGTCAACTTGTACATTTAGTGAAACTAATTATTGCTCGGTTTTTCCCTCTAATTGATTAACATGTCGAACTTTACTTTAATGACATCTCCGAAATCGTTCATCTCGAAAGTTTTGAAAGCACTCGTTTCATCGGGTAGGTGTTAAGTTGACAATCCTTTCTAATAGGATGTCTCGCTGTAATATTGTTAATAAAAATATGCTTAATCGGTGTGATGTGTTAAAAATTTTATGAATCTTTCAAAATTTTAAAAGTTAATTTAAAAAAAATTACATATTGTATTTCGTTGAAAAATACAGAAATGTATTGACCCAGATGTTATTTAACATTACATCACTTTTTCTTCATACATGTTTCAACTATTTAATTAAATAATCAACACGTAACTTTTCTCCTGTTCATAGAAACATAAATATTTTCTTAATTTCTGACTCGCTCAAATATGGTAATAAATTGTTTAAATTATGCTTCAGTTAGTCTCATTTGAATGATTAATTCCGTTCGGTTTGAACGATTTATACGTAATAAGCTGTGGATTCACATAAGCGGTACATGGTAAATAATTGTCTTGAGTTTCGACAAAGAAAAGCGGTATAAGAGTTATGCTGTCGTACTTTCTGTTTCCACAGAGAATAAAGATAGTTTTTATACATAAACGGTTTAACTGGTTTTGCTGTAAAAATATCTTTTCTTCTGACAAGGATCCAGGATTGTGTTTTTTAGGTGTTTTAACGTTTTACAGCTTGTCTTAATTAATTAAATGATAATTTTCCTTTTTCACTCCCTCAATTATTTTAATTTTTATTATTTTAATTTATTAATTATTTTTTTAATTCTGGTGCTTTCATCTTCACTCTTGATATTCCATACAGGTTGGAAACATTGATATTCCTTGATAAATTCTTAAACTTTTTTTGGCTTTAGCTTATAAGGTTTCGAATCCCTCAAAGCTCATGTAATTTTCACGATAATAAAGTGCACGAAGTACTGTAAAGCGGCTTTCCGTTGTCTGCGACAAGCAACGTAAATTGAATGTTATGCTCCCATATGTGGCCGGCATTATTTATTAAATATAGTTGAAAAAAATATATCTTGCATTGTATAAATTCAATTTTTTCCACATCCTACATGTATTTGTTAAATGTAAACAATGTTTGTAAATCCCAGGCCCTGGAGATGATCTCAATAAAGGTCAAAACGTTGGCACCATAAAGAAAATGTTTTTCTGAAAACTACATCACACCAGACCGCATCTCACGATTTCTGAATAATTAAATATAGTTCATAGCAAATTATTTATAGTTAGAATTATTCTATCCAGAGTCCCCAATGATAACATTGCTAACTTCTTTAATTTTGGTTCGGTTGCATCGGGTTTTATTTCAAAGGGTTGTCATAGCGTTTAGTTTATTGCAGTATTATCTATTTCAATAATATTTTTATTATTGTGTTTTCAAACTAAAAAATGAACCGTTAATCCATAATCGGTGCCACTCTTTTTCATTAGCAATTCTTCAAACATGTTTTCGTTCAGACATTTTAGTCCAAATCTTTAAGATCGTAGTTTCTGATCGATAATTATGTTCTTGTCTACAATTTTCGCATTCGTAGTAATGCATTTCTTTGCGATTTTACGGATAAAATAACACCGACTGTATACGCTGGCACATTTTATAAAAAAAAATCTATATACTGACATATCAATCATAGTTAATTAAAGAGATTTTATTTATTATATACTTCTATTAATGTTTGAGTGGATAAACGTGTATTTGTCATATTGTTATACAAAATATTTATTCTTCTTCGCTAATGATTTCAATATATTAGTCACATAGATTTAAATTTTAGAATATTATTTACGATAGACGGCGTATTGCAATTGTTTATAGACTTTGTTCTTTGATCAAATTTTTTTGTATTAATTTTTTTTAGAATACTATTTAAAACATCGTAATTTGAACGGTAACGATCGGTGGGGTTTGCCTGTCTTCTCTGAGTTGGTCTGTCAGACGGGATTCGGCATTCACTTCAGTGTCAGGGCTGTCTATTTTATCAGGTCGTGAGTGGTTGGGTACGTGCTTTGCGTGTCTTTGTGCGTAGATTAACAATGTTTTTATTTTTCTGGTCGGCCTTTAAGCTCTTCAAATTTTTTATTTTTTTATTTGTATACAAACTGATCAAGAATGAGTACGGATATTGCCAATTATGTAGTATTTATTTTCTCTAGCATTTTTATTTTTTTAATTTTTATTTAAATTGCGTTAAAACTTATTAGAAATTACTATGTTTTTTCTAAAGGAAAGTTTAATTAAGGGATTTTGATAAAAAATAAATGTTTTAATTCTATAATTTTTATTGGACACAACAATTTGCAATTGTATTGTTTTGTTATTTTAAACAATAAATACTGCATATAATGTCCACTGTTAGCTAAAACCCCTGTACACTTGTTAGGCGTGGGCTTAATAAGGTTGACACTAATTTCATAAGGAATTTCACTCCATAAATGTTGTAACTTCCCACAAAAGATTACGTTTATGTTGATAAAGTTCGTTTTGCCTAATGTACTGGACTTTAGAAAACAACTGCAATGTACCAATAGATGCGACACACGAATACGTCGAACTTTCTATGGGGTACGAGTCTACCCAGGCATTTAACCTCCGGGTCTTGGTCGCCCACCCTGCATAATATTATGTTGATAAAAACCTTGCCAAAATATCTTGTACGTCATTTCGGATTTGGCGGGCGCTGTGGAAAGTATTCTATCTTGCAGCAATGACAATACCTTCTGCCCTCTCTTACCGTCATAATGCGCTGAGAACCACTACTATCCTCCTATTGGAACTTCCAGCAGCTCGGAATCGGGCTAAAGTCCGGAAGACAACGTTCTGGGAAATATCAATTGCTTCTACGATATCTAATTGCCGTTTACTTCGATGCCTCAATCTCACAACAATATTGCGAACTTCTTGTTCAAGATGGTGGCTTTCCATGGATAAAGAGAATACAACTGGATTGAACTAAGGAAAAGAAATGAAAAGGTGTTTGTTTACAAAATAAGTAATCTTTATGTTTACTATACTTAAGTAAATCCGTTATTAAAAATGAGGGTGAACGTTTGGTTGCTTTTAGTTTGTATTTTCTATTTTGTTTTATCCAACTAACAAGAATATATCGGTTAATTTAATTAAAATGTATAGAGTAATAAATTATAAATATCCCTATTCATTTTGAGCAGTTTAGTTTTGATTGGTCCTCAGATATGAGCTGGGTTAATCATTGATATTTAAAATTCAAATAATTACTACAGTTGTTTTTATAGTTAATTTATAGTGATAGAGTTTTTTAATGATTTATGGTATTTACGAGTAAAACGCATTTTCCTTTAAAAATGTGGTTTTGTAAAACTTATACTAGTATTATTCAGGTTCGACTTTTTTTCATTTTAGTAGGGATTTAAATTGAGTTGTTGAAAACCGAATGAACCGTTTGAAAAAAATTAGTTTTCCCCATCCAAAACACGTGATGAGATTATAGAGTTAAATTGATGACCAGGGATTTTTTCGTTTTTCCTTCTCTCAGTTGCACAGCATGGAAAGCTCCATCCCATTCGGGAAGTGAACGATTTTCAACAATTGGCAAAAATTGTTTTACGAGCAGACGTTTTAACTGAGGGCAAAAACATTTATTTTTATCTCCACCCTTTAATGACGAACCTGGTAAATGGAACAAATAAAATGAAGAATTACGAGTATAACTCAGATAGGAGGGGCTGTGTTGGTGGCAGTGGACAATTAATAACAGGGCTAGGGTTGTGTTGTAACCACCGTCCTCCCTTGTCCACTCGCCCTCCTATGAATTACATCTCAACATGCTCAAGCACTGTGTCCTGTTCCTTCAAGCACGCTAAAGGATGCTTTAAACATGGCGTTTTCCTCTATCTGTCAACCGCTGCTTCATACATGCCATCGGTAATGAGCTTGAAACTGTTTTAAAAACTGCTATTAGAAAATCTTACCAAAAATCTGTTATTTCAAACTTGATAATGTGCAATCTATATAATTTATTTTGTCTTATGTTTTCTAAATTGGAACGGTACTTGTACTGGTTAATTTTTATGTTGGGCGGGAGAAAGCCTGATAGAATTATCATTTCGATTCAATTCTTGTGGCGACAGTGGGCATGCGGGTATTGAACACACGACTCCAAGGTCTAAGAGATGAGACCAGTAACCTCTCGGCTACCGCGGTCCCAATCTATATAATTTGTTTTTATATTGACAATCCTCATTTTATCTCATTAGGAATTTTATATATTTATTTTTTAATATATAAATATTCATGAATAACGCTTTTATTTAAGTTTAGGACAATAATTTTCATCCGATTTCATTATAAATGTTTTAATAACCATTGCATATGATTATCACATGCAAACTTAAAGAAAAATGTATGGTGTTTAGTGACTGTTAGTTAATGATTATATGGACATCGTGAGATGCAGTCTGGTGTGACGTAGGTTTTAGAAAAACATTTTCTTTACCGTTCCATCGTTTCGAACTTTATTGAGGTCATCTTCAGGGCCTGGGATTTATAAACATTGTTTAAATTTAACAAAAACATGTAGGATGTGAAAAAATTAATTTATTCAATGCTACGAATTTTAGGCTCAATCAAATCAGACCCTACCCCTTCTCTCGTCAAACAGACAAACAAAATTCTTCAAGAAATTCTTAAACCAAAAGAAATTGACATATACAACTAATGACTTCAAAACAATTCTCCAATGCCCCCGAAACTATACGGATCTATTATAACACCTTCTAAGACCAATAATTTCATTTGTAAATTCCTTACATACAACATGACAAAATACCTAATTAATATACTCAACAACACAGATAACTCACATCACGTAAAGCATTCATTTCATTAGCAAAATTAATAATATTCACATCTTCTCACACTACTCTCTCATATCCCTAGATGTTTCATCATTGTTCACCAACATTCCATTCGACACAACACTTAACATTATTAAAGATAAATGGCCTAACATAACACCACACACAAGTCTATCAAAGAACACGTTCATATTCAGAAATTTGAAATTAAAAAAGGTAAAATTGAACATGGTGATAAATGCGTTAATAATATAACAGATTTTGATCTACCTTCCATTTTAAATATGTACATAAATAATATCAAACATCCAAATAATTAAACTAAT